CTAGAAAATATTGGCTATCAAACAAGCCAAAAACAAGAAAATGGAAATTCTTTTCCAACTTTCATGAAAATAATGGCTTATCAAACATGGCATAATTCATTTCAACAAGTTTCATCAATACAGTAAATAATACCCTTTCAACTACAACAAAAGCACAAGTTTTACGAGAATAATATAGACACACAATGGTGCGTCAATTATGTGGTTAACCGATCGACTATTTCGACTTCTAAAGATAGTTGGCAGTAAGAAGGGACATGATACGGGGTTCCTTTATGCAAGAGTATATCGAGTGAAAAAACCAATCAATAATGAACTTGTTGATAAAAAAGTATTCAACCTATTAGAATATCATAGATTAAGGTAGGAACAACTTCAACACCTAACATAATCTTAAATGTACCACCCTATTAAGACATTGGATAAAACAGAAATATGGGTTCTCGCGTAACAATAAACAAGAAGAATTGAAGCACAAATAATAGAAAAAAAAATTGCATTTTAGAATAGTAAATTGATGGGGGAATGCATGCGGGCTTCCGAAATTTCAATTCCGAAGTGCTGAAAGAAGAAAAAATGGCATAGCTCGAACATGATCTAAGCCCCACCTTTCTGTTTACAGATTTATGGCCCCTTCAGAGTCATTAATGTCACATTTTTTTTATAACTTTGATTTCTTTGTACATGTACAATTGCACCGTAGTATAAGCAACTAAGAACGGCAATGAAAAAAATATTAAGGTATGAAATTGGATTGCTAAGGGATGAATTCTGAGCTCCAAAAATGAGGAATCACTGGAAATCTAAACAATTATAAAACAAAAGGAAACCTGAAAGTTTGAAGTTTCTCCTCGCTCCTGTTTGGTCTTTAACACATTTTTCTCTTTCGACACATTCTCTAATAAATAATAGGGATAATTGCAGCAAAAGTTTCGAACCTTTGAAACATTAGCACGACGGAGGAAGCAGCCGGGCCTATGATGACGCCGCCAAGTGCATCCGTGGAGACAAGGCAAAACTCAACTTTTCCAACAATCCACCACCGTCGACTTCGCCAACCCCTCCTGTTTAGCCACCGGCCAAGGGACTAAGTGTCAATCCCAAGGCAAACTCGTTAATGGATTACGAGATTTAAACTATCCAGCAACAAAAGTTTAATACCCAACCCAGGCAGTGGCTTGGAATCGTTATTGGGATTGGAACCAGCTGAGCCACCTCAGTTTGTCAACACCGAGTCAGATGACTCGATTGATCTTCTTTCCCACGGAACAGAAGAATCCTCAAATCATCCCTCAAATTACGAGACATTTGGGTTTGAGTTTGCGGTGGAGATGGCGGTGGTCAGTGTAGATTTTGGATTTGAGGTGGGGATGGGTGAGGGTGAGGGTGAGGGTGAGGGTGAGGGTTGAGCGGAAGAAGACACTGGTGTGTATGTGTGTGTGTGTGTGTTTATTTTTTTTTTATTTAATTATTTAATGTAAGCAACTACTTACATCCACTTTTAAAAAGATAATTATATTATATTTTAATTTTATGTAAATTTACTTAATTGATATTTATAATATTAAATAAAAATATATCACTCTAAATCTATATACTAATATTTATTTTCATTAA